AAGAGTATATTTCAATTATATGACGACAGAATACGAAAAGATCTTGGGGCTCCCAAAGTTTGGAAGGTTTCCGAGTTCATTGCTAACGGTACCTGGTGTCTCCCTAATCCTATTTCTCCCGAAATGTTATCACTTTGGCCGACTATCATAGCTATTCCAATCAAGAACAACTCTTCAGATATACTTATTTGGCCTCATGACAATGGCAAATTTAGTGCCACATCCGTATGAAATCAAATTAGACAAAGAAATAACAAGTGGGTCCCAAGCAGTTGGACATGGGATCGACCGGGATCACAAAGACACTCCTTATGTACATGGCAGGCCCTTCTCAATAAACTACCTACAATAGACAATATGAAAAGAAGAGGTATCTATCATGTTAACCGATGCTCCCTTTGTTTGCAACAAGAAGAAACTGTTGACCACATTTATTTTGAACTCAATAGACTGCCGCAACCAAACTGCTCAGCTCTTGAAAGAGATTATTAGAGACTCAAGATCCTGGAGCATGATCTCAAAATCGAGCACTTCACCCGAAAAGAAAAAGATATTTTTATCAAATTTAATTTTGCTATTAGTTAAAGATCTTGGGAATGATGTCAAATAATATACCCATAAGTAGTTATAGTCTACAGCATGTGTAGTCATAACTATCGCATTCGCACTCTATGAGTTAATTGGCTTTGTCTATGAGTTGTATAGATAAAGCTATTTGTAGAATCTTTACACATAATCAATTTACTTTTACTTACCAAAAAAAAATACATACTTATAATATTTGAGGTAGAGATTTTTCTCAATCAAATACTCAAATTATACATATATATTATTATGATTAATTCTTAAATTATAAATTATATATATATAGATATTACAAATTAATTATAAATTAATTAAAAATATAAAATTATCATTTCATATTTATTTCTATGATGATCTTCTACCGGTACTTATGTTTTACCACTTACACTAAAAGTCCTTTCTTGTTTAATATTCTAAAACTAAAAAGACTCTTACTTACATTCATCAATAATAAAATAAATAAATAAATAAATAAGATAAAATTTACGTGATTCAATACTCCATCTTACGTCCATGAATTCTCTAAACTAGAATAATAAAAAGCATTGAATAAAACATTCTTTGAAATTAACCAAAAGAATTTTTTGTTGCCGGTGTTTATAGATCTAGATCTACTAAGAAAAATATGAAGTAGAATTTTTCTTCAATGCCTTTCCTAGCTAAGACCGTGAGATATATAATGTATTTATATGAAAAACACATCTTAAATCCCAAGAATTTTTTAAATATTCTAAATAGTTATTTTTCAAAATAAATAAAACATTATTATAACTCTAAGAACACAATGTGGTGTTAAGGAAACGAGTCTAAGTCATCAAATTGGGTGATGACTAATTTAAAGGTGGTGGTGGTTCACCTAATGACACAAGAGAAGCTGCCATACAAGAAACCAAGTGTTTAGATCACACATGATTGCTTTATAGTTCAAAGAGAAAATCAATTGAGTCCTCTCTAAGTTTGATGCAAGCATCATTTGATGCAAACACAATATCCACATGAAGACCAACATGCAAAAACACAGTTTAGACCTCAATCAATGGACCTACTCATAACAACAGGTGTTAAAATACTGTTTATGAGATTGCATCTCATGGTGTATAGCTCACTTCAATACCAGTAAAATACTGCCTGATGGATAGTATTCTCTTTCACTGCCGTGGCTCATTCTTGATCATCGTTTGCTTCAATTTGATGTCTCACCACGATGGAATGTGACCACCAAATCCAAAAAAAAGAAAAAGGGGTATTATGTATCCTAATCATAATTATTTAGAACTCAACCGACATAAATATAATCAAATCTCGAATCACTAAAATATTGATTGCAGCAATGGGTTAATTGATCGGATCATAATTTTAATATTTTTATTAAAAATATAAAATATATGAATAATATTATAAAAAATAATTCTTATAATTTGGTGAAAGATAGTCATAGGCTTTCTTACCTTACCTTAGATTCTTGTAATAATTTTAAGTAATAAATAAAATGTTAAGAAAAGTGAATAAGATCAAGCGATGGGCTGGATTCGGTTCCTGATTTTTTTCGATCCGAACCAAATGGATCGATTTGATCCAGATTTTATAACTAAATTATAATTATAGTTATGTAACAAATTTAGATCTCAATGTTCTTTGCCTTCCTAAAGAAAAAGATTGAAGGCTTTAATGGTTGTTGTTGGCATTGCACTCCATGAAATTATATGCCTTCGGTGGGAGGGAAGTGGTATGTCCAACTTTATTCAATCCCATCTCATTAAATACATTATATATATATATATATATATATATATATATATATATATATATACAAGAAAATCAAGCAAATTAAAAAAGGTAGATTAATTATTTATCTTTTTTTTTTCCTTTTCGACAATCAAAATAATAGGAAGGAGAGGTAGAAAAATATATATCATGCAGACCACATCTGCTGCCATATCAGTTCGGCGTGATGGACGGTCCAGCTTGCAAGATTTCGGCCTCTCCTCGCGTCCCTCCGTATGCTGAGCGGCGCAGAGGGAAACCCGCGCCAAAGCTGTGTTCCCCTTGCTCGCGTCTCTGCCATTGATAGCATTCCCCCCGAACGAGACCACCTATTCTTGACGCAGAGGATAGGATTTAGCAGATGTTCTGGGTGGTGGATAAGTAATAAGAAGGCGAGGGACTCGGTTCTTCGCAGCAGAAGAGAAGGAAGAGCAGAGGATTCCAAGCAGCGATCCCGACTGGTCACTCTGCCTTCTAATCTTCCTGCAGCAGAGATCAAATGGAGGAGCTCGGTGGCGGCGGCAATGGCTCACCTCCGAGGTTTGTCCGTCTTTGCTTCTCGAGACTTTCTTCTTGTCCTACTGAAAAATCCCTTCTTGCTTTCGTTCGCAGGGTGTCCGCAGGGAAACCCCCGAGGCATGGAGGAACGGTGCATTCCGCCCGCGACAGGCACTCGGCCATGTCGGTTCCCGCCTTCGCCTCTGCTCAAGGTGGTGTGGAACCTCAGGTTTGCCGTCTTTTGATCGTGTCCATGCTAATGTTCTGCATCTGATCCGTAGATCTGCGGTGCCTCGACCTGGAGAAGGAGGCCGGCGAGGTCCTCGCGGAATGCTCGCCCCGGGGTGTCCTCGACGACGGTCTGAGGTGTTTGGACTCGGAAACGACCTCCAAGGCCAGCACTTCCTACACGGAGACCCAAATGATTCGAAGCAGCTTCGCGCTGTGGCACGGCTTCTTTCGGCTGTGGAAGCACAAGTCCATGAGGCGCCTCTCGAGCTTCCCCCCCATCGGGTTCCGGAAGCGGTCGAGGAGGAGGAGGAGCAACAGGGACTCTCGTGTCCCCATGCCGGACTCCACCTCGGCTGCCGATAACGAGTCCTCCTTTAAGCCCACTTGGAGGAACTTCACCATTTCGGAGCTTGAAAAGGCCACCAACAATTTCAACTCTGGTGAGTTTTGGCATCCGTCGAGCGCTTCTTCTCTACCATCAACAACTCTTGTGCTGTTCGATGCTCTGTTCCAGCTCCTTGATCCAGCCAAGTTACTTGTTGTGAACCAAATCCATCAAATCTAGCAATCATTTGCAGGGTTTTTGTTGTTGAAGAAGCTATAGACATCAAATTTAGCTGCCACTCTTCTTGTTGCAGAGAACATGATAGGGAAGGGTGGCTCTGCCGAGATCTACAGAGGATGTCTGGAAAATGGCCAGCTTGTAGCAGTCAAAAAGATCACCAGAGGAACAACAGAAGAAAAAACTCACAATTTCCTCTCCGAGATGGGAGTTCTTGTCCATGTAGACCACCCAAACACTGCCAGATTGATCGGAGTCGGAGTCGAAGGAGGCATGCACCTTGTTCTTGTCCTCTCACCTCATGGAAGCTTAGCAAACCTTCTTCACGGTAGCATCGGTAGACACTGCACTGACTTGTTCTCACCCTCATCGAGATTCTTATGGCTCAGCTGTGACAGATTCGAAAGACAAACTTGCGTGGGGAATACGATACAAGGTCGCCGTAGGGACAGCCAACGGACTCGAGTACCTCCACGAGAGGTGCCACAAGCGCATCATTCATCGAGATATCAAGGCTGCGAATATACTGCTCACCGAGGACTTCGAGCCACAGGTATCATCAGAATCAGCATCACTTATAGTCGTCCTACCGCATCAAATTGACGATGGATGCTCTTGCAATCCAGATATGTGATTTCGGCCTCGCGAAGTGGCTGCCTGACGAAGTGACGCATCACACATTGCCAAGCTTCGAAGGCACATTTGGGTGTGTATAGCTTCAACTCTCAGTTCATGCATGATTCATGATTCACGCTTCTCATGCTTTGCTCTAATGTGTCGTCCATCTTCTCGATCGGGCAGATACCTTGCTCCCGAATACTGCATGCACGGCGTGGTCGATGAGAAGACCGATGTGTTTGCTTTCGGAATCCTGCTGCTTGAGCTCATCAGCGGACGCAGGGCAGTGAACTCTTCGCAGCAAAGCTTGCTGATGTGGGTACGTACATACGTCCATGACACTGACCTCGATCGCTCTCTTCTTCTTGAGCTTCTTCCCTTTCTCTTATGATGCCTCAGGCGAAGCCATTGCTCGAGCAGAACCGCATCAGGGACCTCGTCGATCCGTCTCTCGGTGACTCTTACGACTCCAAGCAGATGGATCGAGCAGCAAAGACGGCGTACATATGCATTCAGCACTCATCAGTTCTGCGACCTCGCATGAGTGAGGCATGCCTACTAACGCCTTCACTCCCCTAAAACAGGCAGAGGATGATTGAGTCAAGTTCTTTGCTGGGTTCAGGTTCTAAAGCTATTGAGTGGAGGAGACGAAGGCCGAGCTGAGAACGGAAGAGCGCTTCACAGGTCGTTCTTGAGGAGGACATACTCCGAGGAGATCTTCGATGCAGAAGAGTATAATGCGACGAGATACCTGAGCGACATTAGTCGGCACAAGCAGATTGCTTTCGATTTCTAGGGGGAGGAGGACACCTGCCCCTGTGCAGGGCCTGAGGCCATGTTCATCCATGTCGATTGCATGCTGGGCTTGAGCAACTGTGTATATATAAGAGCACTTATCGAAGGTTAAAAGTAGGATGGCAAAGAGATCAGCGTTTTATGATTGTTGTTGTACTTTTACGAATCACCTCAAATACTTCGTCTCCGATGAGAATGAGCATTCAAAGACATGTCAACTGGTTTAGTCGGTAAAGATATCAATTCGTAAATAATAAGATCGTGAGATCGAATTTTCGATCTTTGCGACATACTTTTATAAGAAAAAAAAAGTCTAAATAAATATAATTATCTAAACAAGCGTTTGTAAAAACTATTTTTTTTTTTTATAGATAATTAAAGGATGTTTGAGGTAATTTAGTAAAAGGGAAAATAATAGCTCCTACGGCAAAAGACCTGCCGCGACCGAAGCCGATCAAATCCTTTTGCGGCTGAGGGAGCGAGTCGTAGGTCTCCTCTTCCCCGATCCACTGAGTTGGACGACAGCATGCTTATCCGAAGGATCACCTGCGCCCGCGCGCTTCCTCTCTCCATCCCTATGGCCACTTCCCCTCTCTTCTCCCACCTCAAACCCCCCTCCCCTTCCTCCCCGCTTCCTCCCCGCGTCCTCTCCTCTTCCCGTTCTTTCCCTTTCTCGTCTCTCGCCTCCGCCTCTCCCAGCAAGCCCTCCTCTAAGAGGGCCAACCCGCCGATCGCAGCTCTCGTCGAGGTTGGCGGCGTCAAGATCGCCAAAGATGGTACGTTTTCTTTTCTCTCTCCATTCTTGAGTAGCGTCCCCTTTCGCATGACGTATTTAGGTTTCGTTTTCTTCGGTGGATGGGCCAGATGTGGTGCGGGAGAGCGATCCCACGAACAACGTGCCCGACAATATATTTTCCAAGATTGGCTTGCAGCTGCACCGGAGGGATAACCATCCAATTGGGATTTTGAAGAATGCCATTTATGATTACTTCGATACCAGTTACTCCTCCAAGTTCGTCAAGTTTGACGACCTTTGTCCCATTGTTTCAGTCCAGCAGGTAATTCTTCGACATATTATTTCTTTTTTGTTTCTTTTCGGGGACTTTAGTGTTGTGGCGTCTGCAAATGTTAAGCTCAATGCTGTATTTAAGTACATGGTGATGAAAAGTTCGTGTTTTGTGCCATATATTGGGTTTTGGTTTTGATAACAAGCATCTCTTAGATATAAGGGTTCAGTTTCTTACATCTTTTTCTGTCTCCTAATATTTGGCAAGTAGATTCCTTACTTGTCATCTATCTGTTCCGCGTCATGTTTGATTCTAATATTTGTCCTGATCTCCACAGTCCTGTAGTCACTCTTATCTTCCACTAATATGAATGGGTAATTAGGATAGCATCTGCTGATGGAGCTTCATAACCAAACCACACCATGGACCATCAAACCTTAGTCTTGGCTCACATCTATACTTACTAGTAAGCATAAATTTTTTTGATTCTTCCTACTGTAAACACAATTTTACAACATTAAGAGTTGCCACCAGACAGACCATTCCTTTAAGCTTGGATAATCAAGTTGGCAGACACCAATATAGTGGATTTCAATTATGTTTTCAGAATGTTGGAAAGGATTCACATGCTTTACTGTGTGCTTTGAAGTTTACAAGGCACCACAGTTTTTCTTGAAGCTTGATGAAACCATATTGCCAAGAATCCAAGTTTGGAGCTTATTTATCGGAACATAGTTGGAACTCTTTGTGCACTTGAAAGACCAAATGGTAGTTTCTTGTCGGTTAATACAGCCATCAAAATAGCATCAAACTGTCACAGGATATTGTATCAATCAAAGAACATTATTTTAAACAGCTTCACAGCGCATGGTTAACATGTTATCACTTGTGCATGGTCATGTTAACACTTGTGCATGGTCAAAACCCAATTCACTGACTATGCTTTTATTATAAACTTTCAATTGATAATTCCATATTTGTATGAAAACTTTGCACAAGGAAGTTGGCTCTTGTTGTGATAATTTAGGTTTCATCCTCTTGTGGCTTCTTTTAGGCATCTTGTTAGAACCTATTATATATTTTTTTCATACGATATTTTACTTTTACCTTCAACCGAGCCTATAGTCTTTAGCTCTTGTAAAACTATTTCTGCATGCCGAAAATTTAGTTCATATTCATCCAATGTTATCATGAACGTCACCAAAACTATTTCTGCATGCTGAAAATTTATTCATATTCATCCAATGTTATCATGGATGTCACCAAGGCAGTGCCTATGTCATTTAGCTCGGCAGCTTTTTATTTTCAGATCAATCAACAGCCCAAATGTCTTCATGAGGCTTAGGAAGCTATATGCGTGACATATCACTTTTTATTGAGAACTTATAGATTGTTAGAAGTGGTTGCACTTAATCTTTATATGCATGACAACTTTTTATATGACACATGTACTTGGAAGTTTGTCAAATTGAATTGTGTGCAGTTGAATGAGTAAGAAAAGAAGGCTGTTCTAAATGTTATAGAAGGAATTTATTTTAATTTTGTTGTGACATTTTGTGATGAACAGCAGTTCGATATTCTTTAAGAGGCGAAAAGAGAAGAAGCAAAAACAAGTACATTAATTGAATCACAAAGAAGAAGGAGCAATGGGAGAAGGAAAAATGAGAGAACTTATCCCTTGTGGACTATTCTTCCCCTCCACAGGTTCAATTTGATTGGATCAAGTAGAGGCAGGGTTCCTACATCTTCACCTTGTCGTGAAATAGAGAAAAAGAGGATTGTGCAGTCATGGTATGATGTGAGAGATAATAGCATCACACTTCTTTTTATTCTTCTTTCCTTCATCCATAGTGATCATTGTTCTCGTACACTAAAAATTACTAGGTTGGTCAATTCCCCTTCGAAAGGCTGAAAGCCCATACATTTTATTACTAAAATTCATCATACATAGTACAATGTTGTCTTTGACAGCATTGAAGGTGTTGTAGAAGTTGTCAGGGTTGGCAATTGATACTCGGACATGTAGGAAAGTCCAACTAATTATTCTCATGGCTCATTATGCTTCCTTTAATGGAGAAGCCCCATAATATGAAGGATGTGGCTGATGTTCAGACTTTTGCTGTGGTGGATAAAACCATGGCTTTATTTTATAGATCTTATAGACATTAAGGATGATGCCAATTGTTGGCTGTCATGGTACATCAATCCCACTTTGGGAACAATTATTTCAAGACTGATGTCTTTGACAAGCTTTTCTTTAATATGAGGACAAAATGCTACTTAAGCATATTAATTAAACTAATTTCATTATGCATAAAATAAAAAGATATTCAAGCATGAGCCTCCTGGTTTACAATCCTCTCATATGTATAGGGTTGTTGGAGAAAAGTTAGTCTCATTGCCCTGTTAATACTTACTAAAAGAGGCATTCAGACTCTCAAAATACAGGTCCTTATTGTAAAATAGATTCTTTAACCTGTATTATAGTCATATTAAGATTTTAGGACATGAATTTGACTCAAAACATGACTTTTTTACCCATGAAATAAGTTACTTTGTATAGTGACGAAAATCAGTCCGAAAATAACAGTAAAATTCGGAAAAACACCCCTTTTATTGCTAGAATCTGATGAGGAGATTCAGTTAACCCATTTGTTTTCTAACTTGATTAGGAGAGTTTTGAGGAAGAAAAAGGGTTTCTCCACTCTAGTCCAACCAGAATTGTACGGTCCACTCTCTTGCAAAGCTGGATATTTGTCCTTTCAGTATCTAAAACAAAGTAGGACGTTCTTAGGCTGAGGGATTGCTGTACCAGGTTCTGAATATACTTCACATCAAGCTTGATTGCACTCCTTTATGCTAAAACATGGTGGATCAACTTATTAAAAAACTGTATTGATTTGTCCTGAGCTGAACCAACCTTTATTTGAGCTCTCTTAATCATCAAGAAGGCTATTCTATAGCTATGTCTGGCCTGGCTATGCCTTGGGCTAATGGGAGGGGGTCAATGAGTCTGCCACATTGTAAAATTCATTTATATGCTTAATATTCTGTCAACTGCAAACAAGAAGCTTGATTTTTATATTGTTTACATCATATTGGAACAGTTCCAATCTTTGTAATAGATGTGCTATCTACCATGAGACCTTAGAGCTTACTGTTTTTTTAATTAAATTGCTATTCTCTTTCCCTTTTGTTGTTTGTTTCGTTAAAACTTTCTGTTCAAATTCTTGGAATATATTCCTTTTGTAATTCACAGAGTTTCGTGCATCATATGCTCATGGTTGACTGTAAATCTGCTTGTTGCAGAATTTTGATGAGGTGTTGGTTCCTGCTGATCATGTAAGCAGGAGTTATAATGATACATACTATGTTAATGCAGACACTGTTTTAAGGTGTCATACAAGTGCTCATCAGGCAGAGCTATTGAGGGATGGACACAGCTATTTTCTTGTAACAGGGGATGTCTATCGTCGAGATTCCATTGATTCAACTCACTATCCTGTGTTTCATCAGGTTTTTGCCTGTCAGTTTAAAAGCATAGAGTTTAAGTGGATATTTGCAAATTCTTATCTTTAAATACCCAGCATGCAGATGGAAGGGGTTCGTGTCTTCTCTCCAGATGAATGGGAAGGTAGTGGTGCTGATGCACCATCTTATGCAGCCATGGACCTAAAGAAGTGTCTTGAGGGGTTGGCAAGGCATCTTTTTGGTATTTTGGAAGCGATAGCATTTCTCTTTTTTATTTCTAAATGGAAGATGCTAGTTACCGCCATACAATGCTAATACCAATTTTGGAGCCTATAATCTGGTGTCCAATGTCTAATGTACATAAATGTGCAGGTGCTGTGGAAATGCGGTGGGTTGATACTTATTTTCCCTTCACCAACCCATCATTTGAGTTAGAGATTTATTTTCAGGTCTGCTGCTTGTTCCAAAACCTTCTTGATGGATCCTGCCCTTATCTTCTTTTTTTTTGTATTTTCTTATTAAAGCTATAACATACTGTTAATTGGATCATTAAAATATGCTTTAGATATTTAAAAATCTGATCTCATTAATTTTTGGACAGGATTCCTTAAATTATTTACATATTTGTATTTGTG